GTGCCTTTGGGAACAGGTATAATATTAAAAAACAAAAACAAAAAAAACCAAATTGGACCAGCAAAAGCGCCTCCATCTTTTCAGACAAAAGTCTACACTGGTTTTGTTTTTGTTTTTATTTTTAATTGATGGTCCTATTTCAGGGAGTAACAAGGCAATTAAGAAAACAAACCTATTGTGAAAGCAGATGAAGAAGGGACCAGGTTGCACAAAAACACCTAAGAATGAATTTTGCTTTTCCCCAATCCGTATCTCTCCTAGTCTCTGCCTCAGATTGGAGCTGAGTTCAGCTCCAGGACCTGGTAACTGGAACTTGACATTAGGAGCAAAGGCCTGGTAGCTGGACCCAGGACCAAACCAGTGAGCAGCTAGCCAATGAAGAACCCAACCAAAGCTGAAAGAGAAGATGAGTTAAACCAACTAGGCTTAGAGTTTAACACAGAATTAGTAAGTAAGTGCAACCACCTAGAAATGAACTAATGAGGCTTTCAGAAGTTGAACTAATGTACCTAAAAATGTTCTTTCTCCTCTTTCTGTTTCCCTCTCTCTCTCTCTCTCTCTCTCTCTCCCCATTCTCTGTTCCCACCCTGTCTTCCTGCAGTTCTTTCTTTCCTTATCCAAATCTGAAACTGCATTGACAAAAATCAGAGTTGTCACAGGACTCTAAATGACATAGGGTATTTTAGTTTGTACACTGGGGAGTCTTTGAGGTAATAAATAATAATAATGACTAACATTTATAGTATATTTTCTACTTGCCAAGCGCTGTCTTAAGCACTTTGCAAAACGAATCAAAGCAAAAAGCTTTATGAGATAGTACCGTTATCATTCCCATTTTACAATGACGCAGTTTGAATGACTTGCCGAAGGTTGCAGAGCTTGAGAGGAGAGTGACAGAGCAAGAATGAAAACCCAAGAAATCTGGTTCCAACTAGTATTAATAACCACAGGCCAATGGAGTAGCGTGGGAGGGACCCAGATCTAGAATGAAAATTGCCCTTAGGATGGAGCCGATCCCTGGAAGAACAGACCCAAATGCAGGTGCAGGAAGTTCAGTCCTGTGTGCAGAGCATGGTGTCCAGGGGGTGTGGCAGTATTTAACAGGTGGTGGTACAGTCCCACAGTCAAACTCAAAGAGGTTCAGCCTGGGGTTGGGGGATTCCAAAAGGTCAAACAAGAGCGTTGAGAGAAAAACAATTGTTAATATGGCCCCTGTTCTAGAACTAGAAATGCTGGAAATGGCACCAAGATAGAATTCAAGCAAAGAAAACAAGACTGAGATCTAGTTACCCTTACTGATGGGACTGAAGCCATCACCATGTTTGCACCAAGGCTCAACCTCCCTTCGGCTGCTCTCAGCCAATGACTTAGTGTGGCAGCGCGTCCTGGGAGATGTGGGACTCCTTTGATGGGCTGCCTTGGTTTGAAAAAGCCTTGCCAAACTTTCCTTAGGTGGTATAATAAGCTTCCACATAACACCTTCTTCTCGTCACTCAGCATCAGTTGTCATCTGACAGCTCTCTCCCACTCCCTTTCCACCTCATTTTTTTTCACAGATGTTTCGCCTAATAAAATCCTTGCACCTTTAATCCCATTTGAGCTTCTGCTTCTTATAAGACCCAGACTAACAAAAGCATCTTATGCTTGTATAGTGCTTTACAGTTTACAGAGCATTGTCGCATATATTTGCCCATTTGATCTTCCCAGGGTTCTGTGAGGTAAGCGGGGTAGGTCCAGGTATACCCACTTTACAGGTTTGGAAATTGAAGCTCGGAGAAATCAAATGCTGTATCTATGGTGTGCAACCTGTAAGATGGCCCCTAACAATCGCTGCCTCCAGGTATTCACGGCCCTGTGTATTCCAGGAGGCAGGGAATACATCCCCTTGAGTGTGGGCTAGACTTAGTGAATGACTTCTAATGAATAGAATATGACGAACTGATGGATTTTCACCTTGGAGATAAGATTATAGAAGTCTGCAGCTTCCATCTCTGTGCTCTCTCTTGCTTTCTATTGAATCATTTGCCCTAAGGGAAAAGAGCTGCCATGTTGTAAGGCAGCCCCATGGAGAAATTCATATGGTAAAGGACCAAGGACTGCCAACAACCATGTGAGTGCATTTGGCAATGGATCTTCCCCTCAAGATGAGACCGCAGCTCTGGCTGATAGCTTGACTGCAACCTTATAAGAGACCCTGAGCCAGAGACACCCAGCTAAGCCACAGCTGGATTCTTGGTCTACAGAAACTGTGAAATATTAAATGTTTATTATTTTAAACTGCTAAGTAAAGGGAGAATTTTTAAGTAGCAATAGAAAACGAACACAGTATCCAACGTTCAGAATAAGTAAGTAGCCAAATTCAGAATTGAAACTTATCCCAAAACTTTGTCTAGCTGCATTTTATTCTTATTTCTACCCCAGTTTTCAGTACAACCTGTCTCCTTTCTTTTTGTAAACAAAGTTGAATCACTACTTCTTTTATTTTTAAGGGTATGGTCTAAGAAACATTTTTGCTGTGGTAACAAACATCCCTAAATCTCAGTGGCCTTGAACACTGAACATTTATATTTGGTTCACGAGTCTGTCAGTTGGTTGTAGCTCGGCTGGATGCTTCTCAGGTCTGTTCAGTTCTGCTCTATATATCTTCACATCCCAGGCTAAAGGACCAAGGCTAAAGAAGCTGTCCTTAGCTGGAAATGCTGTTCTCATGGCAGAGGCAGAAAGACAAGAGGCCAGACTGAATCATTTAAATACATTTAGAGTTTCTGCTCAGAAGTGGTATACATTGTGTTCACTCACATTCCACTAGCCAAAGCAATCACTTAGCCAGCCCAACAATGTGATAGGATAGAATATGCTGCCTAAAGAGGCATGGCGTTGGAGGACAGAGAGAATGAAAACTGCCCACCAAACTGAGAAGTGTCTTGACACTGAAAAAAGAGGCAGACAGCTCCATATAATCAGTGGATCAGTGTATTATACAGTAAGTTACTACAGGGTGGTATCAGCATCAGGCAGACAATGCTTCCAGAAAATTCACAGCTACACTCTGCACCGTTGACAGGCCATTGGGACAATTTTATAGTTAACCTAGGGAAGGGGGGGTAGGTGCTTGGAAACAGGACATACATTCCTTAGTCAAGACTTATGAAAGGATAACTAGTCTCGTGGCCACTGGGAATAAGTCATTGTTTGGGGAGTAGCAGAACATAGAGGCTACCTGGTCCTAATGATTATCAAACAATATCTATTAACTACAAAGCCCTTGATGACAGAGAAGTGATTTACCGCACTGTACAGTCCAGGGTCAGCGGAAGGACAGGAGAAAGTGTGAGGGCCCAAAATGGATTCAGTTATGCTAACAGCCATACACATGGGAAGTTACATGGCAAAGGGTGTGGATTTATAATGCATGGGAGCTACAGTTAGGAAGAATAATATAATCTACCACATATGATTATGAATGGTTATGAATTTAGACCATATCAATGGTTGAAAAATTAATGCTTAGAAATTTTTAAAAATTAAAGTATTAATTGTAATAAATTGTCCCCCTTAAAGTACATCATAAAAACACCAACACTCATGGAAACCATTGAGCAGAAGGGTAGCAAATGCTAGGCTATCGTTTGGAAAAGCAATTGTCAGAGCAACCACATCCAAAATGAGTGACCTTGGTTTAGTCATTATATCTTTCCAGTCATAAATTTTGGAGATGAGAATTGTTCCTTTCAATACCATGCTCACTTAAGGTGTATTTTTCTACTTTGTTTTTTAAGTGGACATGAAAGCCCATAGGAAAACATGTGAGATCCCTTGCTTAATCCATGAAATGGTTAACACATCCTCTCAACCCTGAGTTGGCCATTATTAGAATTTCTAAAAAGTTGTTACCACTATGCCTTGGAGAAAAAAAAAAATAGAAAAGAGAAGATGCAAATTTTTTTTTTTTAACAACCAAACGTTCCGGTAATGATTTTCCACTCTTTGCCTATCTTGATGCTTTATATAGATTCTAGGTTAAAAATATCTGCTGAAACAAAGAAATAGGCAGCCAGCAAATTAGGAAGTAGGCAAAGCTAATTAAAAGAATTCTAAAGACTATTGAAGGTACAGTCCTACTTGATTTTTTAAAGAAATGTCAATGTTTCAACCTTTTCTAGACAGTATTTTCACAGTTGATTTTTAGATTAACTTCACTGGCATCATCACACTTTTATACAAAAATATCACAGCAATGATGTATGTTGATGTCTGGCAGTCCAGCTTATCCTCTGGCTGGATGCTAAACACATCCCCTGTGTTTTCTGATGGACCTATAACAAAAGTACCCTAAGTACAGTAGCCACAGAGGAGAGGACTGAGGGGGTTGAGGAACCAATGGTACATATGGATACGCAACACAAAATCAGTCTGCTTCAAAGGGACAGCACCAGGAGAGAAGGCGTACATAGAGTAAGCTCTCTCTCCTTTTGCGTTAGCCTAACTGAAGCCAAGAGAGACCAACGCTTTCAGGTTTGTATAAGCTTAATTTCCAACTTCAAGCAAAGGTTGGACCATCACTTTTTTTTAACGGTAGGAGTAATAGGGAATTCAGTTCTATTAGCTATTTCTAGCCTCCAGTTCTTCCAGAGCTAGTTCATCTGGGTGGAAAAATACTTAGGTGTAATCTGCATGTTTATGACCAAGGTTATATAACTGCAGCGCTGTTTTTGAGTCTTTATACCAGAGTCCTAAAACAATACAATGAGAATATTATTCTCTGAAAGTTTGTTAATGTAGGTGGGTCCCTCTTTCTACCTCTTCTCTAGGTCCTTCCCCGAGTCACTGGGTCTCTAACTTTCCTTATGTTTTTACTTTCCCCTACTTATTTTTAGTTTCCCAATATATGTATTTTGTATGTTTCTCAAATTAACTAGGCATAAAACTGCAAGGCATTTCAAGCTCTTTTTTTAATATAAATTTGTCATGCAGATACCTAAATTTTCTCTTTAAACATAATTTTTTGCCCTAACTTATTATGCACCCTATTTTTTTTATTGTTGTAGGGGGCTTGATCACTAGATTTCAACTTAATAAAAGGACCCTCTACTGTTTCCATAACACAACAGGATTGAACACTGGGATGTTGACTCTGATGATCTCCAACTGATGTCATTATGAACAGCATTTAAACACTGAACTTTTTAATACGTGAGTCCCATGTTAACTCAGATTAAATATGTTTTATTAAGTATTTGATTCCATAAAGAGCTACATAGCTTGTTAATGCTTTGAAAGAATTAACACTATCTTTAAATGGTAAGTCCATACAGTGGTTTTGGAGTCTCTCTATATATATTTTTTGGAGTACACAAACTCTGGGTCTTAGTCTTCTTGTAAACCAAGATGACTGACAAACTTCAAGTTCTGTTATTTTATTTCTATATTTTCTGAAATTCATTGTATCATATTTAGCAAGTCACATTAAATTCAGTCACTCCTTCTTTGAGATTGGTCATAGGGAGAATTATAATAAGGCCTCGGATCTTAAAAATGTGCATAAATTAAGTAAAACTGTACACATTTTTTAAAAGTTAGCCAAAATGTACTGAGAAATTGTATTCTAATATGTATGGTTATGACTTCATTAAGTAATATTTTGTTATGTTTGAAAATACAAAAATTACAATTTACCCACTTCTATTAAACACATTGAAAATATAAATATAAATAAACAGTGCTATACATAATTTTGTGAGTTGTAAGCCTCACATGTTAGTTTACTGTTCACATTTTTGTTCTCATTCTTTCAGAGTAGAAAATCTAAACTCCTATTACATGTTTGGATACTAGTATTACATGCATAGATTATTTTAAATATATGAACTTACTACTTAACCAAGAATATGAGTAATAAGAACCAGATAGTCATCCAGGGAATGCCATTACTATCTGATATAACTCACAGCAAAATTTCATTCTAATTCTTCAGTGAGTCAGAACACTTGGTTCAAGCTCTTTCTGTCCTCTCTCTCGACAGTGCTTCCTATTCTTGGTCACATGCACAGCCATAAGCAGAAACACCAAAAACTCTGAGGAAAGGCACTGTTGAGAAGAGCTGGAAACTGAGCCTTTCTCCTAAGACTTCCAGCCACAAATTCAAAATTAGAGGGATTCAGAAATCTTGAAATCCCTGGCTAGTCATTAGAACTGTGTTTCCAAATATTTATTATGTGTCTATCCATCACTGACCGTAATAAATATTACTCAAATGTTTATATGAAAGTAATAAAAATCAGTGACCATAAATATTATAATGTATTTTTATGTACAGTGCTACTAGCAGAACTTGAAATTTAGTTCCGTTTTTAGTCTAGGCTCTCTCCTCAATGACTAACTCAGGCAACTGAAGCCCAAATTAACTCATCATATTCATGGTTCCTGGCTGTGCAGCTTGGCAGCTCTGACAGAGGAGCCTCCTGGCATACAGTATAGACAGGACAAAACCGACATTCACATTCAACCTGACACTCAGGTTGCCTATTGTAAGCAAAGCTATTGAGAATAGAGCCATATTTTAGGCCTAGGTAGTGATACTGAATGGATGCTACCCGTTATACAGAATTTTCTTTACATGTAATATAATTTCATTTCACCAACAGTTGCTAAAAAGTGGATGACAACCCAAATGAGAACCACTGTCCAAAGGAGCCAATTTTACATGTGAATGACTGTTTTTATCATGTGATTTAAAGTTGTAAGTGGCAGCCCTTGCTCCCAAAATTCAGTCTCCTCTGTTGTCTGAAATCTATCAGCAGTAATTCGGTATCATCACCCTGATACCGAAACCAGACAAAGATACCACAAAAGAAGAAAGTTACAGGCCGATATCACAGATGAACACAGACACAGAAATCCTCAACAAAATACTAGCAATCCGAATCCAACAAACATTAAGAGGATAATACACCATGATCAAGTGGGATTTATCCCAGGGATGCAAGGATTCTTCAATATCCACAAATCAATCAGTGTGATAAACCACATCAACAAACTGAAGAATAAAAACCATATGATCATCTCAATAGATGCAGAAAAAGCAATAATTCCTTCCATTGGAGAACATAAATACTTCTCTGGATGGCTACATTTCATTGGAAATAATTTGGGGAGGGATGCCCAAATTAAATACCCCAAATTTTAGAGTGAATAAATTTGTTAGGCATTTTATTCATTCATTAATTTTAATTTTATTCATTCATTCATTAATTTTTCATTCACTCTTTCATCTCACTGATTCCTGCAACTGATAGAGCACCTTCTATGGGCCAAGAGCTCTTCTAGGTGATGGAAATCTTGAGGGGAGCCCTTGAGAGGAGCACATCCCCATTTGGCAGCAGAACACTGAGCTGGTGAAGTTACCCAAAGTGGGGAAAGAGGCATGGAACAGGGAAAAGACATTCACCAAATCTACTCTGCTACTTCACAGTTTTGCCTAAAGCTGACACTGGCAGTGCCCACAGGTGTCCAACTTCAACCACAACTGGTGAAGCATGCAAAAAGCTGCCTTGAAAAAGGGAAGTTGACTTCGGAAGTGCAGGATTCCCTAGAGTCCAAGATTTCATTGGTCGAGAACAAGTTTTCCTTAGCATTTAAAAAATGTTATACTGTAAATCCTTCAGTGGCAGAATCCAATTAGTCTCCCAAAGAAGCTGCTCAACATATTAAGACGCATATGTTCAGCAAATCTAAAATGGAAAATTTCATCTTCCTGATCAAGCCAACTCCCCTATTTTTGTAAACAGGACCAGACACAAGACTTGAAACCACAAAATCACCTTGGACTACACATTCCAATCCTCTTTCCCACCTCCCGTGTTCCATTTTGGCCATGTTCTTTCCGTTCTCCTTCTACAATCCTTTCCTTCCCCGCTATGTTCTGCCTCAATCTGAGCTAATGTATCAACAACTTAGGTCATCTCCCTGCCTTCAGCATTTCTACCTCTACTATCCATCCTGAAAGCTGCCACTATAAAAGCATTTTGATCATATTGTTCGTCCTTTTGCTGCAAGGTAAACGCTCCTAAAATTTAGCTTCAGGCCCTTGTTGTACCTCAAATTGTGCTACAGCCGACCCTTAACCTTGCTGAGCTTCAGATAAAACCTGAACCCCTTAGCTTGGTATTAAATTTATCTACCCCCTATCCTTACCATCTTATGTATAACCACTATTTCAAGGCTTCTATTTCAGTCCAGATGGTTTACTCACCCCTCCTTAACCACTCTTCATTTTTCCAGTTTCATATATTTACTCGTAATTGTTCCACACAGACATGCACACGCGCGCGTGCTCACACACACCCACACAACTACAGATTTAAGCTTTGTGCAGCACTCGACAGTTCTTGGAATGTCTCTGAGTCTGATTGTCAACTGTAAATGAAATTTTAAATATCTAACCTCTCAAACTTGTAGGCTCTTTCTGAGGACCAAAGAAACTAATATTTTATTGACTCCTTGTTATATGCCAAACACTTTGCTAGTTTCAATAAGGTATCATGTTGCCTTATTAAAATCTTCCAGTGATTCTGTGATAGAGGTAGATCTTATTTTCATTTTACAGATAAGGAAACTGAGACAATCGTTTGTATGTAAATACTTTGAAAACTGAGAAACAGCTAGAAAAATGTGTGTTTTTGTCTGTTTGTGACCTCCTATTAAATCTTCTGTTTTATGCAATCTTAACTTTTTCTCCAACTACATTTTAAGGTATAAATGATTTTATGTATTTCTTTAGAGTATATCCTCTCATGATAGTTACTAGAGTTCATAATTGCTTTGTAAGTATTTTCAGGTTTATTTTGATATACAGCTTATGTGATAGTTGATTGATGATTTTTACTTTTCCATCAGAGGAGCTTAAAATTTTCTTTCCTCCATTTTTGCCTATTAGGTGGCAGCCACATACCTGACATTAAAGAGGCTATGGAGGGGTTACCAAGGAAAAGAGATAAGCCTCACTTATGTGGGCTGCCTCAGGGTGTTATACATAGGTATAACTAAGATTTGTCCTATTTGAAAATATTTCAAAATATATTTAAGTGAGCCAATCAAATCTGACCTAATGAAGGGGAAAATATTAAGAGTAACTGAACACTATCTGTGGCATATTTTAAAAAGATCTATTAGTGATGAGGCAACCGAGGATAACTTCACTTCCCTAGTGCTAAACACAATAGACAAGATAATGATAGAGGCTCATCAGACTCTACCTTTGAAACTTGCCTTTGATGATTTAAATACAGGAAGTTAAACTAGTTAATGCTTGAGCAGGGATTTGTTTATTCTATTTATCTGAAACTAAAGCCAACTATCATAGTAAGTTGAATGACCTTAAATCTCCATATTTGAGCAGAACTTAATGGACCACTTGCTGATAGATGAATTCAAGAAAATAAACCAGCTCCCAAATATGTGTGTGGGTATACTATATATACTATATACTTTGCTACTCAACTCTAAAAACAAATGTTTCTTTTGTAGAAAAATTAAAGTGATAGATTCTAAACAACTTTCTATATAAATAAAGATCCTAGACTCAAAAGGTGGCTGATTCAACTTAATTTTTTAAATTGTACTTTAGGTATACCTAATGATTAAAACTTTTTGGTTAAAAAAGGTGAGTTTGATTTCTACTACTTTTTTTCCTGTTCTCCAATTAGAAAGAACATGTTTTCATGGTACTTTGCTCAGTAGAAGTAAACATTTAAGGATGGCTCCCTCTAAGTCCATTTTTTCAACATGAAACAGGATGCCTGGCATGAACTACATTTCCTTTATTGCACTCTGTTAAATTCCAAATACAGTTATACATCTTAATATAAGAAATATGTGTGACATAGCACATTTTCCAAGACAATATGTTTGAAATGAAGGATGAACTAGGGAAATTAATCCAGCAGTCTATTAGATGATGACGGTTTAAGGAAATGCAGTCTTATCTTTTCCACGCATCAAGGCCATCAGTTTTGCCTTTATCCACTAGAGGGGGTAATGTTCCTCCATCCTAAAAGGACATGGAATTATCCCAATGAGATTTAAATGCGCACAGTGACCTTATTTCTTTTGAAACCAGGTTAATTAAATAACATAATACAATGGATGCCAAAAATACCAATGAAAGTTGCTTCAAAAACATTTGTGGAAAAAAAAAAAAACATTTGTGACCCCAAGATCAGAAATAGCTGTTTTTGTCCACCCTAAAACTTTGCAAAATCCGTGGTTGTAAAAAGGATGGGTTAAATGTGTTTTAGCTAAGAGAGGAAAATTTTACATAAAGTAATGTTTTCTATGACCGTTCCAAAAAGTACTGTGTTCTTTTTCATGTGATTAATTTCACCTTACTAGAGTTGGTAACTGGATTGTTGTCTGTTTGGTTCAGCAAGGAGGCAAATCACCTCTTTACATTTAAGGATGCATTTAAGAAAGAATTAAAGAATTAAATAGATTTATAGAAGTTTATAATAAACATCATAAATACATGAATTTGACATATTACATGGTTGAATAGTGATACAGGATTCAGAATACTTAAAGATCAATACATATATACAGAACTGGTTTTTCACATATAACTATGTAATTGTCACGGTTTATCACGGTAAAATTTTCTTTTAATAAATTCCAAGTCAATAAGACAAGAATGTTTTTTTCTTTAAACCTACTGAAAAATAGTTCGAATTGGCAGAATAGCCAATCATGTTTGGTTGTTAAAAGATAATCAAAGTAATTGGTTAGAAATAACCAGTTGCCACACTGATGAGATGTCATAATTATAATTAACTGTGCTATTAGGTCAGTTGTTTAGTTATTTCTGTGAATAAGAAAAAGCCTAATCAAAATGCAGAATAATTAGTTCAGTTGAAAAGAAGAGATATAATTTGTGAAAAGCAAGTATATTACATCAACCTTATTTTTCATAATCCTAATTATTTTCTAAAATAAAAAATATTTCTAGTTCCTGGAGATTATTTCCCTTGAATAATAGCTACAGCAGTGGTTTCAAGTGGTGGGTGAATACCATACTTATCATACAACTTTTAAAAATATTCATGCCAAGAGCCCCCCTACAGGAATGCTGATTCAGTGGATCTGGGTTGGGATCTCAGCATGGGGACTTGTAAAAAAAAAATCTCCATATTCTAATCTGTAGCCCTGGCTGAGTGTCACTGCACTGCCCAATTGTACCTGACTAGGTTTTTCTCCTTGTTGTTTGACCCCTAGAAAGTATATATTAGAAAGTCTTCGGAGGCAAAAGAAGAAAATTACTGTGAATTATTATGACTTTTTACAGGAAAATCTCCTATTGTATGAATGAGAGTAAAGACCTCAAAATACCTATGTGTGATAGTGAATTCCACATTACAGTGCAAATAAACATGCTTTTGAAGTTCTGTATTGTTTCTTAGTAATTTTTGCTGCCTGGAGATTTTCCAAAGACAGCTAACAAAGGCTTGTAGAAAAGACTTACAGCATTATGGAAAAAGTTTTGCTATAGACAAGAACAAATATTTACAAACAGTAATTCCAAATAGACCCAAAACCCTATAAATAACTATTGTGTTCTTGTAAATATATTACCATAAAAATACAGTTATTCTAAAAGTAAGCAATAGCTTTATCTACAATACACATTAAAACAAATTACAGTGAGGTCACATCTCAAATGGAGATTTTATAATAACTGAGAAGTTAAATTATATGCATCTAAAATGAATTCAGCCTGTTTTCACAATGAAATATGGGCCACCTATAATTTATTTTACTATAAATAAGATTTCCTATGTATGTTATAGATACTTATTATTAATTTACAGTGCATGATTTACTTTAATCAATATAAGAACAAATTTACTGTAAAATAGAGAAAGATTCTGTTTTTTTTCTCCTAGAAAGTCTTTTTTTACACTTACTAAAAAGGCGCCGTGGCTACAAAGAGCAACAGGGCCAGTGGAAGGAATTAATATGTATCCAGTTTGCAATGCAATAGCATATTCTGCATGTATTAAAGATGTTGGGAGCTATGGGTTCCCAGAAGAAAAAGTGTCCAACTCTGCCTCTAAGAAGTCCAGATGTGGTGAAGGTGGCAGTTGTGGAAAATCACTGAAGCATCAGAAATAGTTTCAGGATTCATTCATTCAATTCATCAAAGTATGTAGAGAACTTACTCGGCACGTGTGCAGCATTTTTTTTTTCAAAAAGCAGATAATCCTTAAGAGAGATGTTGAAAACTAGCCAGAAGAACAATGCAGAGAACGATGAATGACAGTGGGGATGGAAAGCGCTATAGCGGGTTTAAAGAAGGAAAGATCTTAAGAGGTATGTGGCATTAACCAGGACTTGAAGTCCAGGTGAGATTGTTTCTGGAGAAAGGAATAGCATCAGAAGGCACAGGCAGGAAAACGTGGCGACAAAATACCATATACTAACGCTCTAGAAAAATGGTATAGATGATCTTATTTGCAAAGCAGAAATAGAGACACAGAGGTAGAGAACAACCGTATGGATACCAAGGGGAAAGGGGGCGTGGTGGGAGGAATTGGGAGATTGGGATTGACACATAGACACTATAGATACTATGTTTAAAGTAGATAACTAATGAGAACATACTGTATAGCACAGGGAACTCTACTTAATGCACTGTGGTGACCTAAATGGGAAGGAAACCCAAAAAAGAGGGGATATATGTATATGTATAGCTGATTCATTTTGCTATACAGCAGAAACTAACACAACATTGTAAAGCAACTATACTCCAATAAAAATTAATTAAACAAAAAAAAACGTGGCGACAATCTGGGGATGCTTTTTTTCTCTAGTTTGCTTGGAGAGTGTATTTTGTCCCTTAAACCCAGATCACATCCTTCTTCACTCCAGGAATAATTTCTGAGCTGTTCCATTCAGATCAACTCCTGAGTTTCTACTACATTTATCACTGGAACCACTTAAACAATTAATTATGTGCTATTTTGCATTGTTTTCTAATTGTTTATTATATTTTTTAACTTCTTAGCTCTCTACATTGTGAATTCTTTGAGGGCAGGGATTGCTTTTGTACACATGTGATATCTTTCACATTGTTTACTATCCTATTTAGACACACAGTTCAAATTCAGCAAGTATTTGTTTATTGACTGATTATATGACTAAATGTAGTAGTGGTAGGCTTGCCAGGTAAAAATGTAGGAAAACCAGTTAAATTTGAATTTCAGATAAATAATAAAAATATTGGTGGGTCTTACTTGCACTAAAATATCATTCATTGTTTATTTGAAATTGAAAATCAAATTTAACCATATGTATATATGTATGTATACATATATATACTCACACAGATTTAGGAGGAAAAATATATATATAAATATATTTTTTCTTCCTAAATCTGGCAGCCCTAGGTAGTGGTGTATTCTTTATGGCTTTGTCAAAGTTTCCAATGTACTGAATGTCAATTCCTGACCTTTCATCCAAGAATAAACTCACTTATTTTGTTGTTTGGAGGCTGCTTCTTCCCAGAATAAGTGAACTGCATAAAATAAGAAGAATAAACGAATAACAGACATTTTTCAACCAAAGACAAGTGGCTGAAGATGAAAGGATGAACAAAACCCAGTGGCTGAATCAGAAGGGATGAACATGAGACCCCAGAGTCTACACAGAGGATAGGAGGTAATACAGGTGGGAGGAGAATGCTGTCTGAAGACCTAGATAGGGAGATGAGTTGGGAAATAAGTTAAAAACAGGAAGAGACAGGAGAGGCAAGTTTAAAAAAAAAAAAAAAAAAAAAGAATTTTAAAAATGAAAAGAGAGAAAATGGTGAGAATGAAAAGTTGATGAAACTAGAATAGAAAAAAAGCAGGAGATGAAGAAACAGAATGAGATTGAAGAAGTATGAGGAGTAACACACACACACACACACACACAGAGGAGGGAAAAAGCCTGATTGGGATGGTGTGACAGGAAAAAGCTATAGGAAAGGAACATGGGCTAAGAATTAATGTTTTTTAAAAATAAATTAATATTACATACAATATTCAAACTTAAAAAGAAGAAAATTCTGCAATATGGGACAGCATGGGTGAAGCTTGAGGACATTATGTTAAGTGAAATAAGCGTGTCACAGAAAGACAAATACTGCACGATTCAACTTATATGAGGCATCTACAATAATCAAATGCATAGACTCAAAATGCAGAATGACAATTGCCAGTGGCTGGCTGGAGGGAGACAAGCAGAGTTACTAATCAACGGGTATAAAGTTTCAGTTAAGCGAGATGAGTAAGTTCTAGACCTGTGCCAAACAACATGGTACCTATAGTCAACAACACTATATGTTGCACTTAATAATTTGTTAAGAGGGTAGATCTCTTACCAAAATAAAATAAATCATGAAAATTATAGTGTGAGAGAAAAATGTCAAATTTATGACATTATAATCTGCATTTGTATGGTAGCTCTTTCTGAATTCTTCCAGACACTTTTTTTCTTCCCTACCTACATAGGCAAGGACATAGAATACCAAATGTCATCTCTGGCTTTTTGTGGACTGAGACTTGTTTTTCCTTCCTACAGGAAGTATTGAGGCATTAACCAGGTATGAGACAGGCATAGATAAGTAACACTTTTAATTCATCTACTTCAAAATCCTGTAAATTTTTTTTTTCGGTACGCGGGCCTCTCACTGTTGTGGCCTCTCCCGTTGCGGAGCACAGGCTCCGGACGCGCAGGCTCAGCGGCCATGGCTCACGGGCCCAGCCGCTCCACGGCATGTGGGATCTTCCCGGACCGGGGCACGAACCCGTGTCCCCTGCATCGGCAGGCAGACTCTCAACCAGTGCGCCACCAGGGAAGCCCCAAAATCCTGTAACTTTTACCAAAATCTTAGATAACTGCTTGATGGGTAGTTTTATAAGCCAACAACTTACTTCCCCATCTAGTTCTCTGCCTTGTTCAGTGGCTTCTTGGTCATACTGCACTAACAAATGGGATGCATTTTTAAAAATTTAGAATATGTTGAAAATAAATTTTACTTATAACTCTGATTCTTGACATGTATTTTGTACATGTGTCGGAAGGACTGGGAGGGGTGGGAATTGTATTGTTTTGTTTCCAAAACTAATGAAAAACAAAGAAAATCTGCCCTGATGGTCCAAGTTTGTTTTCATTTCAACTTCAAAGATGGAAAACCTGCTTTTCTAGGAAACAGCAGGAGGGCTGCTCAACTGTCCTGCCTTGAAAACCTGTCTCCCACATAAATCAGTTGTGTTGACAGAGAGCACTTCCCTGAAAGAAATCACCATTTCTTCCCCTGTCTCCTGCTTATTTTTAATACATAGCACTTATCGAACCCAGATAGGATGAAGAATTATGGGCTACATAGCCTTGTATTTATGTACATTATTAGTTACACGTACAAAAAATAGGACTGAAGTTCTTATGTTAACCTAGAGGATAGTCTCTAGAGGCAAGCCAAAGGGCTCTGTCTTGTCTAGTCAATGTTTTTTTTTTTTTTGGTCAGAGACTTAGATGACAACATAAAAAATACTTACCAAATATGTGTTTGAGCATAATTTTGGGAGTTGAGAAATTCCATGTATGATGGAGTTAAGATCCACAAAAACCCCAAAACTCCAACATGTGCAAAGAAGGGTCAAATCTAACAATATGAAATTTAATAGGGGTAAATTTGGAACTTAGCACTTGAGTGCCCCTCCCCTCCCCTCCCTTCCCCTTCCCTTCCCTCCCCTCTCCTCCTCTCCCTTCCCTGTTCCCATCCGATTCCTTCCCTCTCTTTCTCACACACACACACACAACTGCATTACTGTGCTTTCCTGGTGGCGCAGTGGTTGAGAGTCCGCCTGCCGATGCAGGGGACACGGGTTCGTTCCCCGGTCTGGGAAGATCCCACATGCCATGGAGCGGCTGGGCCCGTGAGCCATGGCTACTGGGCCTGTGCGTCCAGAGCCTGTGCTCCGCAACAGGAGAGGCCCCAACAGTGAGAGGCCCATGTAACACAAAAAACAAAAAAAACAAAACAAAAAAAAACTGCATTACTCTCAGTTGAGGGAAGCATGGCTTATTGGAGATTGTGTAACAAAGATTTCAAAGATTTATGGATTTTATTTCAATAAAGGCCGGCGGTTTCATGTGGCTGCTGAGAAAGCTAATTAATGCACCTTTGAGTGTGGTAATAGACCTATAATGGTTTGAATGAGGGAAGTGATTGTCCTGCTCCAGAAACTGGTTTGAACAATCTTGGTGTGTTACATTCAGCTCTGAGGATCTGGGAAACAGACAAATTAGACTGTATTCAAAGGAGAACAATTCTTGGATAAGGAAACTCACAATAATTTTCCATGAGTTTCATCTGAAGGAATGGAAATATTAGCCTAG